CCATTCATCTGAGGCCTCTAAAAACTTGTCTTTTTCACCCAAAGATTCATTTTTCTCACACCAGGGAAGCGGGTCTGATGGGTCCAAGAGTATTCTGTGCCTGGGGTATTTGGCTATGGCCCACGATAAATTAGACGAGTCTAGAATCCCCACAGAATCTGCAGGATAATAAAACACGAGCAGCAGATTCTATAGCACCTCTGCCACAAGGACAAATCAGGGAGTATACTTTTTTATACCTGCCTTTGAGAACAGTGGATAGCAGAGCACTGAACCGAGCTAATGCTAAAGCTCTTCTCAGGCTGGAAACTGTGATAGTATTTAAATATCCCACCAGTCAGAGTGAGGAAGATCAGCTCCTTAAGAAGACGTCTTTGGGTAGCTGAGACTGATCTAATTTCCTTCCTGCACCCAGCACATGCTCTGTCGGTACCTTTTGGTCTGTTCGTACCCTGCCCCAGCAGCGCAGTTGCTCAACTAGGCATCTCCACCACCATCTAGCACTGAAATCATCTGCTAGTGTCAGAGGGGTCAAGCCTATGGGCAAAAATTTAGATAAAGAAAATGAGTGAAATCTTTGTTTTAACCTCTGGCATACTGTTTTCGTTCATGTGTTGTGATTCTATCCCACCTTTTAACCAAAGCTTGATATGGATCAGGTGCCACACACAGTGCTCCCCTCCCTTTAAAAACAACCAATTTATCCACATACTGTTAAAATAAAAGTACCTAATCTGCCTCCAACAGAGATGTTACGCAATATTCTTGCAAGGGCACTGCGACAATGGCTGAAAAACAAAGCCCCTTGTTGGATCCTGCCTTGACAGCCTTCCTGTAAGGAAGCAAGCAGGCAAGTGGCCCATCAAATTAAGTGGGACAAGTGCTTAACAACTTACTGCATCTGCCCAAGGAAAGGCTCCCCGTTTACCTCCATTCCTGTTTGTCCACTGTAGCGGCAGCATTAACAGGGACTTTCTCTTCATTTCCACTAAACCATGGGATTCCCCCCCCCCTTTTCATTTTGGCATTTTGCCTCAGAGCAAGTTCCACCTTACTCGAGAGAAGGGAGGCCCAAAGCAACTCTTCTGGCTGAGGACCACGCTGGGGTTTGACCAACATGTTGGTGGCTTCACTGTCAAAGGGTTGAGGCCGCATAAAAAGATGTAAAAGGGATGAACTAAAATGTAATAAAAATATTACGATTCATTAATGTACAGTAACAGATTTTCATACACACACACATGAACTTAAAACGAGTCCCTTTTCTTACAACTCATCACCCAAGTTTAGAATAAATGGAGCAAAACATAACCCAAGGAAACCAACCAATTCTCACCCACCAGCAGAGGCCTTGTTGCCAGTTGGCATCAGAAGGGGCTCATCCCAGACCTCCTGGCAGGCCGCACCCCACCAACTAAAGCTGTGCACCGGCTCTCTTGGGAAAGAGATGAAGTGGGTCCTACCCCTTCCCCTCAGAGGAACACTCGCTCCAGTCAGAGGGACAGAGAGCATGTTTTCCCCACCTTGCTAGACCTTCACTCCCTCTGCTTAAAGGCTCCCAACCCCAGATAGATCCTGCAGAGCAGGGCAAAGCCTCTCAGGACTCACCATCAAATAACCTCTTCTTAAA